TGTACTGTTGGTGGGAATGCAAATTGGTGCAGCCACTGTGAAAAACAGTATGAATCTTCTTTAAAAATTTTAATTGGAATTGCCATATGACGTAGTGATTCCATTTCTGAGAACTTATCTGAAGAAAACTGAAACACTAATTCAAAAGAATATATGCACCCATATGTTCTTAGCAGCATTATTTACAATAGCCAAGAATTGGACATAGCCCAAGTGCCCATTAGTAGATGAGTGGATAAAAAAATCATGATACATTTACACAATGGAATACTACTTCGCCATAAAAAAGAGGGCAATCTTAACCCATTGTGAGAGTATGGATGGTCCTGAAGAGCATTATGCTAAGTGAAATAAGCCAGTCAGAGAAAGACACATTTCATATGATTTCACTCATTTGGAATTTAACGAACAAAATGAACTAACAAGCAAAATCAAGTTAGACTCATAGAGAGCAGGCTGACAACGGTCTGGGGTGGATGGATATAACACAAAAGAAAAAAAAAGAGAGAGAAAAAATGTCATGCATCCTGACAACAGTTTTGTTATTATGGGGGGTGGCAGATGGGGGGGGGGGATTAAGGAAGGTATAGGGGATAAATGGCAATATTCAGAAACTTGACTTGGGGTGGTGAACCTGAAACCTGTATAATTTTGTTAATCATTGCCACCCCAATAAATTCAATAAAAATGAGTAAAAAAGAGCAAATGCAATGTAGCAAGTACAGAGCCAGGCCAATAGCTTGCACTAAAATTCCCTGGGTTTGCAGAATGAGGGATCACAGTGTAGGCAACCGACACAGAGCTTAGCATGCAGAGTTCCCTGTGTTTGTAGCTACTAACAGCTGGGTCCCAGGCCTCCTGACTCTATTTGGCCTTCTCTGCAGGTGGTGTTCATTTGGAAACAATATACTTATTGGCAGTTTGTAGCAAGCTCAGGGGACTATAAGAATCATATTAAGTTAAGTATCCTCTAGCCCCCAGAGCTTTCACTATGCCTTTAAGAAAGAGACTTCCTGTAAGGACTCCATCTTGTCTGTCCCTGAGGAAGTTGTTTGGGACCAGCTCTTGTCTTCCTCAGCAGCCCAAGTTGATCTTCAAACCTCCAGCTCCAGACCTCACAGATTCTTTTCACAAGAAACCTGTGGAGACATTGGTGACAGGTTATTGCCTTCAGGCAATGGTATGGGTGAGTTGATATGCATGAGGCCTTGGCCTTAGATTCCCACAGGGCTAGAGGAGTTCTGGGTCCCCTCCCCCACTCCAATCGATAGGACACCTAGGCAACCTCCATTTTAAAAGAGGAGTGGTAAGGACAAGCCCAAACTATTTCCCTTCCTCTTGAGGAAATGGGCCAAGTGGTCCCTGCCACACTCATACTGGTTCCATATGGAAACCTTCCCCTCCTTTGGATGTGGCTGAGGTGTTTTCTATTTTTCCTTTCTTAAAGGGAAAGACCTGAGTTGTGCAGTCCAGGGGTTGGAGAGTAGAGAGGGTCACTTAGGTTGGGGGCTATAAATTAACATTATTTGGATGCATACCAGAGGTGGGGGAGGGGCAGAGAACCCACCAATACCCTTGATTCTTTACATTAAGTACTCAGGGTAGATTGTATTACTCCCATAGAAGCCTCTTGAGGCTTCCTTTATGGCCCAGCATATGGCCTATTCTGGAATGTTCCCTGTGTGGTTGTTATGTGCATTGGTCTATGTTTCTATGTAGCTGAATATTTGCCAGCCATTTTATATGCCACCCAATGAGATGTGTTAAAATTTCTCACTGTTGCCCTGGCCAGTGTGGCTCAGTTGGTTGGACATTGTCCCATGCATCAAAAGGTTACCAGCTCAATTCCTGGTCAGGGCACATGCCCAGGTTGTGGACTCAATCCTCAGTAGGATCATTCAGGAGGCAGCTGATTGATGTTTCCCTCTCATGTAAATGTTTTTCTCTCCCTCTCTTCCTCTCTTTCTAAAAATCAGTAAATAAATATACATATTTTTAATTTCCCACTGTAACTGTGGATTTGTCCATTATTCCAGTCACTTTTTGCTTTGCATATTTTGGCTCTGAAACATGCATACAAATTTAGAATTTTTTATTAATATCTTCCTATTGCATGAAACCCTTTACCCTAATGAAATCTCCTTCTTTCCTCTAGTAATGTTTTTTCTTTAGATTACATGTTGTCTTTTATCAATATGTTTAAACCAGCTTTGAGTAGATTCATATGTAAATGGTATACTTTTGCCACTACTTTTATTTCAGATTTTCTAGATCATTAACATTTTGCATGTATCTCTTTTAAGGAGTATTTGTTGGAATGTTTCTTACCCATTCCAATAATATTTGTATTTGGAATATTTAGTCAGAAACTGTTAAGGTCACACAATGAAATTACCTTAGAACACTTTGATTCCATTTAGTGTTCTCCCAATTTATTGTCATGCATTTCAATTCTCTACATATTTAACCCCCAGAATAAATTATTATCATTGTGTTATAGAATCAATATTCTTTTAGATTTGCCTACATAGTGATAAATATCATTAGTCTTTCTTTTTAAAAAAATATATTTTACTGATTTTTTACAGACAGGAAGGGAGAGGGATAGAGAGTTAGAAACATCAATGAGAGAGAAACATGGATCAGCTGCTTCCTGCACACCCCCTACTGGGGATGTGCCCACAACCAAGGTACATGCCCTTGACCAGAATCGAACCTGGGATCCTTGAGTCTGCAGGCCAACGCTCTATCCACTGAGCCAAACCGGTTAGGGCTCATTAGTCTTTCTTTCCTGCATTTATGTGCCTCCATCTGGGATCATATTTCTTCTGCCTGGAGAAGAATCTTTAATATTTCTTTTAGTTTCAGTCTTCTGGTCACAAATGTTCTCAGTATTTTCTATGTTAACATCACTATGAAATGCATATCTTTTCTTCAGGAATGTTTTTCCTTAAAGCATACTCTTTTCCCCTATGAATATTGTTATATGGACTTGATATTTTATTACTTTTGGAAACTTCACAACCAAGATCTTTTCAAATACCACTTCTGCACTGTTTCCTCTTCTTTTTACCAGACTCAAATTAAACATGGGTTAGATATATTCACTACATCTTCTTTAATTCCTTCCCCTTCTCACTAACTTTTTATTAATCCTCACCCCGGGGACATGCTTAGAGAGAGGGAAAGGGAGAGAGATAGAGAGAAACACTGCTTGGTTGCCTTCCACAGGTGCCCTAACTGGGGACTGAACCTGCAACCCAGGTATGTGTCCTGACCTGGAATTGAACCTGTGACCATTAGGTGCACAGGACAGTGCTCAACCAACTGAGCAACTACACCTAAGGCACTCCCCTTCTCTTTCAGTGTTATCATATTCATTCTAGATTTTTCATCAGACCTCTCTTTCATTATTCTAATTGCTTTTTCAGATGGGAACTTACCTTTTTTTTTATTATTATTAGTTAAGGTATTACAAATGTGTCCTCATCCCCCCCATTAACCCCCAACCTCCCCCCCCCCCAACACACTTATGCTCCCATCCCCCTGTTGTCCATGTCCATTGGTATGGCTTATATACATGTATACAAGTCCTTCGGTTGATCTCTTCCCCTTACCCCCGCCCTCCCCTACTTTCCTTCTGGGGATTGATAGCCTGATTGCTGTTTCTCAGTCTTTGAGTCTGTCCCTTTTCATCAGTCTATGTTGTTCTCTATAATCCACAAATGAGTGAGATCATGTGGTATTTATCTTTCTCTGACTGGCTTATTTCACTTAGCATAATGCTCTCCAGTTCCATCCATGCTGTTGGGAACTTACCTTTGACCCTTGAACCATAACACCAAACTTTCAGGGTAGTTTTTATTATGCCCCTAGAACAGAGGAAGGAAGTGAGAGTTACAAATGATAACTTGTCCCAGGGTCACCTAGCCTGAAAAAGGCACTAACAGGGACTAACATCACAGATTAAACTCAACACCCAAATCCTCTCCTCTTTGCTTTTCTTCTTGGTTGTGAATAGTCGCTACCTCTCATCTCCCAGGAAGTGGAACCACAGTGAAGTCCTTCAACGTTTTTAGGACTGTGATGTATTTCATTTTAGACTAGAGGCCCAGTGCATGAATTCATGGATGGGTAGGATCTGGCCAGCCCGGCCCAAATCAGCGGATCGAGGCTGGGCCTGTCAGATGGCGAGAGGTTGGCTGGCCAGCCCATGCCAATTGGGGCTCGATCAGGGCTGGGCGGGCTGGGGGGAGGGGCCACGGGTGATTGGCTGGTGGGCTCCACCCCAGATTGGGGTGGGAGGCTGATTGGGGGCGGGGCTGGCCACGGAGAAGGGCTGTGGGTGGTGGGCCAGTCAGCCCCGCCCCAGAATAGGGCTGGGAGAGGGGCCGGGGGAGGTTGGCCAACAAGCCCCACCCCCAATTGGTGTAGGGGGGGTGATCAGGGGTGGAGCTGGCTGGGGGCGGGGCCTCAGGCCGATGGGGATGGTGGGGGCCCATTGGGGGTGGGGGAGGGGCTTAGGAGGTTGGCTGGCTGGCCCTGCCCCCTATTGGGGTAAGGGGGAATCAGGGGCGGGGCCAGATGGGGGGAGGGGCTGTGGGCTGATCAGGGTGGGGGGGGTCCATTGGGGGCAGGGACAACTGGGGGGAGTGGCTGTAAGAGGTTGGCCAGCTGGCCCCACCCCCTATTAGGATAGGGGGGCAATTAGGGGAGGGGTTGGCTGGGGGGAGGGGCTGCAGGCTGATCAGGGGCAGGGCCAGCTGGGGGGTGGGGCCACGGGAGATTGGCCAGCTGGCCCCACCCCTGATCGGGTGTTCACTGATCGCAGTGGGCATCATAGCGAACTGTCATTCCGGTCGTTACAGCATTCCAGTCGCTGGCTTTTTATATATACTAGTATAGATTATAAGAATCAGTAATATTTCTCCATTAGCTATGATATCTCCCCAGGGCATTTTCTAGTATTGAGACCATTGATGTGTTGTTCTCGATTTCAGGGCACAATCCAGAAGGTGACACCACAGAAAGAAGACCAAGACGTTGGGGTATTTACCGAAGGAGATATAACAATGTGTCTAAACAAGTAAGTTCTGGCATTCATCTTTCATCCCACAAGCAACAAGATGGAGATTCAGCAACAAGTGATGCTCACATGGACACCCGAGTAAGATAGTAAGTGACCAGGTAGCATGGCTAAAATGCACCGCCAATGAAATACATAACCTTGGAGTTAAATATGTCATTCTTCTCTCCAACCAGGAAGAATGAGGAATGATAAGATCAAGTTAATCATTGAGAAAACTTTATTTTAGCTGCAGTTTTAATGGGGGTGAACATGTATAGAAGACTTCCTGAGCATATGTGGACTACTTCTTTCTCTCCACTGCTCCACAGTGCTCCCTATGCCATTCCACACTGTCATTGGAGAGGCAATTTTCAGGAACGAGTCCAAACCCATATTAACAAAGAAAGAGAGCAAAATCCTCCAGAGACAAAAATGGAGGAGAAGAAGCAGGATGAGACCACAGGAAGCTGGTTCAAGATCACAGTGAGTGTCCTAGAAAAGTGGAACTAATATGTAGAATGTGTTGGACTTGTGTAGAAATGCTAGATACCTTTCTGGGGCAGAGGAGTTGGCAATGTGTCCTTTTATTAGTAGGAGTTAACATCCTGGGCCATCTAAGGGCAGACTCAGAGAAGCAATATAAAGAAAACAGACTGATTGCAAGGAAGATGAGACAGGTAGTCTAAAAGCAAAGGAGGAAGCTACTTGCCAAGGAGCTGGAGCAACTCCATACCTGAAGGCACAGTTTAGTCCAAGCTGAATGCAATAGGATGTTGAGTCCCTGGGGTCCTTGTGAGAGGTGCAGGCTAAGTCTGCCTTAGGTAGGATCTCTTAGAACTTTATAAAAGGAAGTACATGTTAAACATTTTAAGTTGATTATTTGAGGAAAACTATTTGAATGGAAAGAGTGGTATTTAGGGAATTCATGTCTGGTACAAAAGTTAGCAATAATGGATACTAGCCTATCCTAAACAATTGTTTTAAAGGCTGAAAAACAATCTGAAAAGAAAACCTGGTTGGATTTATTCATAACCTTAGATGCCATTATGTCAATCTCTCCTATCTTTTCTTTGGCTCCTAGATTCCATTCGGCATAAAATATGATGAGAAGTGGCTGCTGAATTTGATTCAGAAGCAATGCAGCGTCCCCTTTACTCCAGTCGAAGTAAGAGAGGACAATAAAATGGATGAGAAGTAACAGGGCAGATGAGCAGTGGCTCTGGTCTCATATTCTGTTTCTCTTGTCACTATCCCTATAGTTTCACTATGAGAAAATGCAGGCCCACTTCTTCGTTGAGAATGCCAGTATTGCCTTTGCATTGAAGAATGTTGGTGGCAAGATTTGTGATAAGAATAATGAGAAGGTAAGTATCAAAGGCATGACTAGGACTGGCCAGGGGCAAGAGAGCAGGACAGGGGCAAGGTCTGCTTAATTCAAAGGCTCAGATTTCCTGGTGCTTACCCAGCCCCTCTTGTATTCTCTGCAGATATCTATCTTTGTCATCCCCTCTAATGCACCCCAGGCTGTGCAGAAGGAGCTGAAGTCAGCAAAGGAGGATCAGATAAAGGTAATGCAGACTCCAGATCAGTTGTGCATCCATATCCAGACCCACTTCTTCTACCCCACATATTGCCCCCCTTCACTACCTCAGAGTCAGAGCCACTGAACCCCATGGGGTGATGACAAGGGGCAGTGAAGTGGATTTGTTAGAAAAGGAAGGGACTGGGGCTACAGGCATCTTGGCTCTCTTTCTCTGGTCTATGTGGTTCCTCCCCATAATCACAGGTGAAGTCAGCAGAGGAATTGGACCAGGGCAAAGGGCTGGAGCCAGAAGACATGAGTGCAAAAAGAAACCCCATATGCACCACCTTACCAGATAATTCAACCAACGTAAGGTTAGTTGTACCCTCTTTCACCCCTGGTGAGCCTGACCTACCCTTAATAATATACGTTTGCAGAGGCAGCAAACAGGTCTTTTGGGAGTATCATAGGCCCTCCACTCTCTTTTCTGTGTTCTTCACCTGTGCTTAGAGGTATCCTTCCCTTCCTCTGATATGCTCACCTGTTCTCCTGTTCTGGGGTCAGTTTCCTGACTCTGCACCCAAACTTATCCAGCATGCCCTCCTAAGATTGTACTCCAGGAAGCATGATATCCCCTCATCACCAGTACTAGGGGTGACCAGTCTTGAATCAGATGCTGGTGACCTGGAATGGGAAAGGTCCTCCAACATAGGTCCTCATGTTGAGACGGGTCTTCCTGTTCTGTGCTGAGAAGGGCTACCCTCCCCTGCCATGAGCGGAGCTCTCTTTCCTTTGATCCAAAAGGGTCTCTTCTCCAAACCCAGGCAGACATGGGAAGTTTACTGCCCCATTTTAAGGGCTGAAGTCCTGGGTGGCTGCTGTCATGACATTAGTTCCTCTGGAACAATGCCACCAGTTGGGCTTTCCTTGAGAAAAACCAGGTTTCCCTGAGTTATGGGGCCAGAAGTAAGCCACCACCAGTGAGCAGAGGGCCTCTGGAGGCAGCAGTGGAAGGCAGAAGGCACAGAAAGTTGAGGAGACAGAAGGACAGTCCGCTCAGTGCCCCTCCCTCCACACATCACATCACCTGTCTGGTCCTTCAGTGGAGCTCTGGGTAGCCTGACATGGGTAGGATTGCTCAGAAAAGAAACCAACTAAGATAGGCACAGGTGCACAGGGGTCCATGAGAGAGAAGGCAGTGATCATAATAGGGGACCACACATCCCCCCTCCCTAAGTTGAGCTGAGCCTGATCTTTTCTTTATTCCTTCTGGGGAAGGTCTCCTGATCCTGTGGTTGATGTGTTTCCCATGCCCAGTTCAGACTCTCACAGGTGACAAAGGCTCAACCAGTATCCCATGGGCCCCAAGTCCAACATGTGCAAGTTTTTCATTCCTAACTAGGATCCCAGGACCCAACAGTGGCAGGTGCAGGAAAAGTATGCAGCTCTAAATGCTGCTCTTTATGTCACTGGAGAAGGGAATCAGGGCATCTAGATGGGAGCTACCTAGCAGAATGGAGGAGTGGGGGTAGGGCAGGAGGAAGGGCGAGTGCTCTTCCTATGGATTAGTCCTTGGGGAAGGTTCCCAGGTCCCTGGAAGGCTGGGACACTAGAGTATAGCTGGGCTATATATCTGGTGTAGGTTTGCTTGCTCCAACAAGGCAGGGCTGCTCTGCAGATTCAGTTATGTTTCTGTTTTGTCTTTATTTTGGCAGCTGCATCCTGGAATTGTTCCCCAAGTTATTATGCCTGGTAAGTATTTCTCCATGACTGACTCCTTTAAGTAGCACAGACACTTCCCACAACCTGCTCTAAATGCCTTTATGTCTGGCTCAAGTTACATTTTTGGATCTGACCCTTAATCCTCATTAGTGGATTGACCCATGTTGGAATCTGACAAAGGCTCTGGACCTTCTTCACACAAGTTCTCCACAGGCTCCAGGCCCCCCATGATGATGGTACAAGTGTAGTCCTGCTCATGGAATTTCCAAGGCTTTTTTGCACCTGACTTCTGACCCTCACCCTCACCTTTTCCCAATCATTCAGTACCACCTGCTGGTCTCCAAGGCTGACTTCCTCTTCCTTCCCCAGGATGGTCAGGAGCCACCCCCACCAACTAATTTGGGGATTGAAGCCCACAAGAATGTACCATCCTGTAAGGTGAGGAGGGGGAATCAAGCAGGGTTTTAGGTGGTGAGTGAAGATGGGGTATCAGCTGTGGTCCTGAGCACTGTTGTGATTTCAGGGAAGTTTCTTTGGATCTGACCCACTGAAGAATCTAGTCTTACAATTTCTGAAGCAGTAAGTACTCCTGGAAACACCAGGAATGGGGAGGTCTGGGACTGCTATTTGGAACTCTCACATCTCATTTGGGGCCTGGTTAACAAAGCAGCTTGTCCCCTTTGCTCCACCACAGATATTACTCTATCTATGACTCTGGAGACCGGCACTGTCTTCTCTGTACTTATCATGACAAGGCCTGCTTCTCCCTGACCATTCCTTTCAACCCCAAGGACTCAGCCCAGTGAGTATCACAGCTCAAACTCTTTTTCTGGGGGGGGTGTCTCCCCAGCAGAAACCAGTCAGTTCATGGAAGCACTCCCATGGCCAGACCTCCACATCCTATTCCTCTTTTTCTCCTAGAAGCAGCTTGTTTGAGTACTTCAAGGATAACAGGAATATGAAGAACCTCAAGGACCCCAGTGCGTGTGGGATGGGGAAGATTGGGCAGGGAAAGGGGGCATGAAGGGTCAGTCATAGGCCCCAGGGAGTGGCAACCCTGACCTCTGCTGTCCTTCCCTCACAGACCTGCGTTTTCAGCTGCTGAGACATACAAAACGTGACATTACATGCACGCTCTGTGTGTTACCCAAAACTCAGCATGACCTGAGCTCCTTCGTGGTGGACATGTTGTTCCAGTCGGTAAGCACCTGCTTCCTCTCTCAGACAGGCCCAGAAAGATGCAGGTACATGGGAGCTGTAGATGGTGACTGAACACCTGTGTTTCTCCCTTTCAGGAAAGGATGCTCTGCTTCTGTGTCAATGGGGTGTTCAAGGAAGGTGAGTGCCGATAGCGTTCTCTCCCCAGATGTCCACTGCTCCCTCCCCCTTGCTGGGCTCCCTCTCAGAACTCTCTCAGCTTCCTGTCAGCCCTGCAGTGGTTCATTAGTTGGGAACACAGGTATGGGGTTTGATGGTTTTCATCCCAGATCCTGACTGTGAGAACTTGGGCCCATTACTTAACCTCTTATTTTCCTCATTTGTGAAATGGGACTAATAATACGTACCTCTTGGGTAGCTAAAAACAATGAATTAAATGAACTTGTGAGGTGGTTGTTCTAGGGCCTGGCACATAGTAGGGACCACGTTAGTGAGAAGAGATTGCCCCTATGGTTGCCCTCCTCATTCCCGACACTCTGAGTCCCAGTGAACAGTTGTCCCCTTGGGAATTAGTATGAAGTCCACCCTGACTGGGGTATTCTGTGTGAACATGTTAAATGTGTGCAACTCCAACATGGTATTGTTGTTTGTTGTTGTTGAAGTGGAAGGAAGGTCTCAGGGTTCTGTTCGTGCCTTCACCCGGACCTTCATCACTACCCCTGCCAGCGATTCCAGGTGAGTGTTATGCTCTGGGTGGGAACATACAGCCCAACCTGGGCTCAGGGCTGTGGGGATGTGGCAGTGCATGTTCTCAGGGTTTTCTCTGTGTTGTGGGAAGCCAGCAGGTTGATCCAAAGAACAGTCCTGCAAAGGGGTTAAGAGCTTGGGCTCTGGAGTTAGAACACTGAAAGTGTTTCAGGTTTCTTTCAGGTTCTCTTAATGACGCCAACACTCACTAGATTTGTACCTGAGTGAAATCACATGACCCTCTCTGTGACCTATGTCTTCCTCTGAAAATGGGATTAGATTGTCTTCTCCCATGGGCTGTTTTACTGAGTAAATGCAATGGGGTTAGGGGTACAAATCTAGTGAAGCTGATAGACAATCTCTCCAAGGCTGGGGATGTGAGAGGGGCAGAACTACCAGGCAAGGAATCTGGGGAGCAGATACAGGGGGGTATGGGAGGAATCTAGTTGCTGAGTAGCAGTGGAGGCAGGATCATTGTTGAGGGTGTGGGGTTGTCCATCCATCAGTTGTCTGAGGGCCCATTTTTCTCCAGTCTATGCATCATGAATGATGAACTGTTTGTGAGGGACGCCACGCCCAACACGACTCAGAGTGTGCATTCCATAGAAGTGCCTACACCCACCACCAGCTCCATGACCACCCTTTCCCAGGAGCAGCAAAAAATGGTGCAGGTTTTCTCCACCAAGTCTGGAATGAGCCTCCAGTTGTCTCAGAAGTGAGTGCTGGGTGTGCATGGGGATAGGAGGAAGCTGGGAGGAGCAGAGGAGTGAATAATAGAAACTTGCAGGTAATTTGCTTTGCTTGTTTATTTCACCTATTCCTCTGAACATGTATCTCTCATTGCATATAAGCAACACAGTTATTTTGAACAGGTATGTATTCCTTTATGAAATTCTTTATTTCTTGGACCTCATTCTTTTATTGACACATTTGGGCTTCAGGAATTTTTCCAACATAGAGCTTATTTCGCTGCATATGTAAATGTGGAGGCATATTTGTCACATAGTTTATGAAATAGCAGAGTGTTATCAGATTGTCTCCACTTTTGTCCTAATGGATGTCTCCTGCCCTTCCTCCACCCCAGGTGTCTTCATGATAATCACTGGGACTACACTAGAGCTGTACAGGTGCTCGCTCTGTGCAAGGTGAGGTCTGGGAATTCAGGCCAAATGAGTGAAGAATGGATGGCCTGGGGGGATGAGACTCAGAGCTCCTGGCTGTACTAATCTCCCAACTAGCTCCCTTTACTTCCTCCAGGCCAAGTACAAGCTCTCAGAGGAGGCCCTCCCACAAGCTAATCCTGGATCCTAAGAACACAGCCTCACCAAAAACCCCTTGGGTGTCATCATCTTCATCCTCATCATCTTTGTTATGTTTTTCCTCCAGTCTTACTATATTCCTGTTATTGAGCCAGGAGGTCTGGTTGGAGCTAGTAATTCAATGCTTAAGTGACACTCATCCACCCAAAGGGCTGGTTGTTTTGTGTATCTGTTCCTTCCAGGAACCCTAATTCTTTTCATAATAAAGAATGACGTTGCATGTTATGTCCCTGCAAAATCATTCAAGTCAAAATCCATTCATTGGTTTATAGAGGAGGAAAGGGAAATTCAGAGATGGTCTATGAGTACTTGGAGAACAATGTGGTAGAGACTCAAATCCTGGATCTCTTTACAACCCAGGCTGTTTATGTCCCCAAGGCCATGTGGCTTCTGAGGTAGTGTGCTCTGTTACTCTGGTAGACCTGGGGGAGGTGGTCTGTTCCCCTAGTGTATTAGTCCAATATTTTTAGGCAGAAAACAGCATTACTTTCTTAGCCATACAAATCTATTCAAATTTAAAAATAATTCCCTTGGGGACAAACAGTATTAAAGAGCAGTAAAAACCTAGGAAAGAAGAAATTGTCATCATTTATGACTGACGTTGGAGTAATATCATTGATATGTAAAGAAATCAGTAGAGAAAAGGGGAACTGATATTAAAGCAGAATTGTTATTAAAAGCAGTAGAAATGCCCAAGAAATCTATGAAAAGCTATCCAACCATAATTACCTATTTAGCCAGAATTGTGAATCCTATATAATAAAGAGCTAATATGCTAATTACACCATCCAGGCAAGCTTCTGGATGAAGGCAGGGCTATGAGGGCCAGCTGAGGCTGCGAGGGCCAGCTGAGGCAGATGGGGCTGTGAGGGCTGAGCCCCTTGCATGAATTTCATGCATCGGGCCTCTAGTATTGAAATAAAATGAAGACAAATTTTACTAAAAGAAAAAAGAAACCTAATAATCGTATTTTTAGAAAAATACGTGCACTATATTGCTGTATTAGTTTTTTAGGTCTTCTATAACAGTATCACAAAATGGATGGCTTAAGAAAACAGACATTGCACTGACCTATGTGCTCAGTGGTTAGAGCATTGGCCCATACACCAAAGGGTTATGGGTTTGATTTCTGGTCAAGGGCACATACCTGGGTTACAGGTTCAATTCCCAGCCTCAGTCAGGGCCCCTGGGGGAGGCAACAAATCAATGTGTCTCTCTCATATTGATGATTTTCTTTCTCTCTCTCTCCATCTCTTTCTCTCCCCGTCTCCCTCTCCCTCTTTTTCTCTTTCTTTCCTTCCCTTCCTCCACTCTCTAAAAAGCAATGGAAAAAACATCCTCTGGTGAGGATTAAAACACACACACACACACACACACACACACACACACACACACACACACCAGAAATTTATTCTCTCACTGTCTTGCAGGCCAGAAATCAAAGTTCACAGTGCCAGCCGGGCCATGATCCTATAAAGACTCCAGGGGAGAGTCATTTCTTGCCAATGTTAGCTTCTGGTTGCTCCTGTTGTTTTCTGACTTGTGTCAACATAACTTTATCTCTTCCTCCATCTTCACATGATCTTCTTACTTGGGTCTCTGTTTCTTTTCCTTTCTGTCTCTTATACAGTCAAGCATCATTGGCTTTATAGTCCCCTCTAATCCAGGGTGATTTAATCTTGAGATCCCTACTTAATTTTATCTGAAAATACCTTTATTCCAAATAAGGTCACATTCTGAGGTTCTGGATGGTCATATCTTTTAAAGTTCACTAGTCTACTCTCACTCCTCCACCCCCTCCCCAAAATTCACATCCATCCCAGGTAAAAAGTACACTCACCTCATCCCACCATCACCAAAAGACTTTTTTTTAATAAAATATATTTTATTGATCTTTTACAGAGAGGAAGGGAGAGGGATAGAGAAGTTAGAAACATCGATAAGAGAGAAACATCGATCAGCTGCCTCCTGCACACTCCCCACTGGGTATGTGCCCGCAACCAAGGTACATGCCCTTGACCGGAATCGAACCTGGGACCCTTGAGTCTGCAGGCCGATGCTCTATCCACTGAGCCAAACAGGCCAGGGCAAAAAGTCTTAATGAATTCTAACCTCAACTCTAAGTCAAATATTTCATCCCAATGTCAACTCAAAAATTCCCAAATCTCATAATCTAAAAGGTATGGGTGAAACTCTGGCTATGATCCATGTGCAGATAAAATTTGTCTCTATTTGTGGAACTGTAAAACCAAAAAAGTTATCTGTTCCAAAATACAATGGTGAAACAAGCATATGATGTACATTCTCATTCTAAAAATAACATATAAAGGATTAAAAGAGTCACTAGTCCCAAGCAAGTTTGAAACCAAGCAGGGTAAATTATGTTAGGATTTAATACTCAATAATTATTCTTTGTGGTAGCATGCTTTATTCTCTAGGGGCCCTGCCCTCTCTGAAATCTGCTTCTATATCTGTGTCTTTGTCCTCAGAGTTATTCTTTTCCTTTCGTTTTTTAAGTCATTTATTCATTAATATGTTGTCAAATTGTTTTTTTATACTATTCTTTGTATTTCTTGAAGTACGTCACATGTTAGCAGCCAAGTAGCTCTGTCACCCTATTTCCTATCTGTAGAATCCCAGAAGTCTGACAGCCTTCTTTCATTTTGTCCCTCCTTTTTTGCCCTCAAGGAAAGCTGGCAGCAATTTTGGTTGTATAACATTTTTCTCAAAAAACATGTGGGTCTCCTATGTATGTCCAGGGGATCCATGCCATCAGACAAGAGGCTTCTCCACAGATGTTTCCAGGACAACCTCATTTCTATTCCTGGATTCTGCTGGGAGGATTGACTGGATCCATTAGACACATATCTAATGTCTTCAACAAAAGGTGTTCCGCCAGACTCTTGGCTCTTTTTCAAAAACACACTTAAAAATATTCTGCAACCTAAATAGACTGAGTATTCTCCAAATTACCACGTGCTGGTTCCTTTTTACTTAATAGTTCCTTCCTCAATTTTAATTCTTTCATCTTTTACTATAAGCATCAGGAAGAAACCAGGCTCTTTACTGTAAACAGTTATTGAGGTAAGAAACATCCAAACTTAGAGAAAGTTTATGAGTTTATTTGAGCTAAACAGAGGACATGCCTGGGAAAAAGATTTACTTATGCACCAAGAGGTCACCAGTTTGATTCCTGGTCAGGGCACATGGCCAGGTTGCAGGCTCAATCCCTGCTGGGGTCCAACCCCAGCAGGTCCAGGGGTCCCCAAAGGTGTGGACGGAGTCAGCGAAGAAGGAATGACACGGAGACAGCATTCAGTTGATCAGCAACCTAGCCAGGATCTCTAGCCAAGTTCTGGTTAGGATCTCCAGCGAAGTTCAGTTCAGGATCTCCAGCCAGGTTCTGTGTCCATGTTCTCTTGCTAGGTTCTCCAGCCAGGTTCTCCAGGTTCTCCAGCCAGGTTCAGTCACCAGGTTCTAGTCAGGTTCTCTTGCCATGTTCTATCCAGGTTCTGTAGCCAGGTTCTGTCTCTAGGTTCTTCAGCCAGGTTCTCTCGCTAGGTTCTGTCTCGCTAGGTTCTGTGGCCAGTTTCTGTCCAGGATCTTTTGCCATGTTCTCTCCAGCGAAGTTCTTCTGTCTCTAGGTTCTGTGTAGGCTCTGTGTCTAGGTTCTGTGTCCTGTTGTCTTGTTACATCTGTATTTATACCAGTTGATTCCAATCCTATCAATCTCTATTCCAAAGGTTAGGGCGTTTCTTATCTCTATTCCAGGGAGTAAAGATTATGTAGCTTAAGCATGATTGTTCGTAGTTAAAGTGATTAATTACCCGCCTGGCACTTAGTTAAGGGGTTTTATTCCCTCCCTAACTTCAGGGGAAAATCCCTACCTGGGGAAACAACCTTTCTCAGAGAGGTGACCTTGGTTAAAACACATAGTGCCAAGTAGGTGAGCAAACATATTAAGAACAGTATGCCATATATGCCAGGTCCCTTGAAACAGCAAGGATGGACCAGCTCCTGGCAAATCCCCAGTAGGGGGTATGCAGGAGGCAGCCCATTGATGTTCTTCTCGCATTGATGTTTCTATATCACTCTCTCCCTTTCTCTCTAAAATCAATAAAGACATATTTTTTAAAAATATATTTTATTGAATTTTTACAGAGAGGAAGGGAGAGAGATAGAGAGTTAGAAACATCGATGAGAGAAAAACATCGATCAGCTGCTTCCTGCACACTCCCTACTGGGTATGTGCCTGTAACCAAGGCACATGCCCTTGACCAGAATCGGACCTGGGACCCTTGAGTCTGCAGGCTGATGCTCTATCCATTGAGCCAAACCAGTTAGGGCAATAAAGACATATTTTAAAAAGATATAAAGGTAGATAAAAGACCTAAATGTAAGTCATGAAACCATAAAAATCCTAGAAGAAAACATGGACAGTAAAATCTCAGACATCTCACATAACAGTATTTTTGCAGATACATCTCCTAGGGCCATGGTCAGCAAACCGTGGCTCGCAAGACACATGCGGCTCTTTGGCCCCTTGAGTGTGGCTCTTCCACAAAATACCACGTGCGAGTGTGCACATACAGTGCGATTGAAACTTCGTGGCCCATGCGCAGAAGTCAGTTTTCAGCCTGGGCGAGTCTATTTTGAAGAAGTATTGTTGATATTTGGCTCTGTTGACTAATGAGTTTGCCGACCACTGTCCTAGGGCAAAAGAAACAAAGGAAAGGTTAAATAAATGCTACTACATCAAACTAAAAAGTTTCTGCACTGCAAAAGAAACCATCAACAAAATGAAAAGGGAACCCACTGGATGGAAGAATGTATTTGTCAATGATATAGCTGGTAAGGGGTTAATTTCCAAAATACATAAACTACTCATACAACTCAACAAAAGGAAGACAATCCAATTAAAAAATGAAAAAATGTCCTAGCCAGTTTGGCACAGTGGATGGAGCGTCGGCCTGCAGACCAAAGGGTACCGGG